AGTCTAGAGGTAACGTTCCCACCTCATGACTCGTAGTACGCGGGTTCAAATACCCGGCGGAGGTCGTCGAATTTTTAAGGGCGGAAAAATTCAGGGAACAAGTCCTCCGGGAGGGACTTTAAGCTGTGTGTCCCGTGTCGTAACTTTACGGCACGTAAAAGAACCTCATATCCCCAAAGGGGATCACTGAACCAAATTCCAGGACGTTTCCTGCCCAACAGTAGTCTCTAAGACCTCTGATAGATGGGGGAGGCATTATAGACACCGCTAAGCAAGTGGCCAAACTCGCTTGCTCGGTGGGACTGATGGTACGCACCATTTATCGGTAGGGTATAGAGACTGGTAGAATATCATAGAGGGAAGCACAATAGATCATACTGGTCGCGCTGCATGGGGAAACCCACCCTCTCTAAATAACTAACTAACTAACTAAACTGAACTGAATAAGACTAAACTTCCTTATCTCAGCTATGCCAGGAGGTGGTTACAATAATAAGCTGACTTATCAATGTTACTGCATATTTCAGAGCAAATACAAACTCATTTTCTTATTGAATTCAAAGTATTCCTAGGTACAACCACGCTTACCACCTCCATCTTTATAAAATGTTAAGTGAGTTGTATTCTGCAACCACTGTAAATGAATGACATTTGAGACCTTCACTGCTGTGAAAATTTAGATTCATGTTAGCATATCAAGACAGTGGGTTCCACCAAACAATGGTAACCATGTATGAGAGTACATATATCATAAACCCAAAATATCAAATTTTAGGCCAATATTCCTTACTTTTCATTCCATCATAAGAATGTTATGTTCAGCATAGCACTGAGAAAGAATGTTTCTCATGCTGTACAAAACTGATTCCATGTTATGCAACTCACCTCTCCAACATACTTCTGCACCAGCTCTGAGCCGATGACTCGGATGAAGCAGGCATCTGTTCTGTTTGCAACAGCTCGTGCACATAGAGTCTTGCCTGTTCCAGGAGGTCCAAATAGCAGGACTCCTTTTGGGGGCTCAATGCCAAGGTTCACAAACTTCTCTGGCTGCAATTTTTAAAACAAACCAAAGAACAGTTTACACTAGGATCTACTGGTAATCTTTCATTTTCCAATATTTTGAGTTTCTGAAGGGTTATTTAAGATCTTTCCACAGAATGTTTTACACTACCATAACTATCATGTGTCTAAAATATATCTGAGGTTGCATCATCATCAGATAGTGACATGTCTTGTTATGCCACTGTTATAAAAATTCTAGAGTCTATTTCCAACATATGATGAAAACAGAAATCACCATACCAGAGATAAAAGACTTTCCTTCTGTGAGGCTGCCTGTTCAAGGTATAAACTTTGTGTGCTGGCATCTGTCCCTCTTTTCCCCCTGGAACTACTTTTTGATTCCTGTATTTCTATTCTTTATCCTCCTTTAGAAATGTTTTCAGTGTATGGTTATGTGCATGCAGGGTAAAAAAACATTCAAAACTGCGAATGAATGAGATGCTTCACCTCATATGTTACGTGAAGAAAAGGTAAAAATTGCACTGTTATGGTTACAGCTCAAGATAGTATTACATGGTTGAAAGGGGCCATGTACATATTTACGGAAAAAGCAAAAATGTAAAAGTGTACGAGTACACTGTACATGTAAGATGGTCGTTCAAAGAATTATAAATTAAATAATGACTACGACGATCCTTTCTCTTAAAAAAATGAACACTGAATTAAAAATACAAAAAGTATTCACTGTTAGGCTATGACGCACAAACTGGCGAGAAGTCTTAAAATTACTGAAGTCTTCAGAATGAATAAACAATCAGTATTAAGGCTTCAGTGTTTAATGGTATGACACACTCTAAACGAAAATTAAATATTGTGACATGTTGAGCTATGGATGACGCCCCTCCCCCACCCCCGCCAGCCGTGATGCGCCGAGCGAAGCCGAAGTGAGCCGAAGTTAGCCAAGTCCTGGTCGCTATGCAAAGCGAGTCAACAGCGATGACGTCACCAAGGGCAGCACGGGTAAACAGGATTGCGAGAGACGACGGTGGTAACAGCGGTTACTACCGCTAGCGTTACTAGCAACACAGCGCCAGGCAACAAGGGTGCTTATTACGTGGCCGTTTTCTGTATTGTCCGATCGAGGCTACATGAGGCGCAGCGAAGGCTATTCACAGTCAGTCCTGGAGCTACCTCCGAGTTAGTTCCTAGTTAGCCAGCAACCAGTCAGTTGTATTCTGGCATTTGGAGTGTACTATTTGTGATACTGCAGATAGCAGTAATCGTAAATCTGTAATTTGGGTGATTGTAAGTGCGAATGTGAAATAAAATTCGCTATATAAAATACGGCGTGAAGTTATCTGTCGCGTTATACACCCAACACGCGACAATATATATATTAACTGTACAATATATGTTCCAGAGTCTCATTATAACAGAACATTACTAAAAGAACAAATGTGATATTATCACAGTAAGCCAACAAAGGATTAAGCTGGGATAGCGAAGTTGGTATAGCAACTGGCTACAGGCTGGATGGCCAAGGGGTCAGATTTAGAGTCCCAGTACAGTCAAGAATTTTCTCTTCTCTGCAGCATCCACACCGGCTCTGGGGCCCACCCAGTCTCCTATCCATGGGGTACTGGGAGCCCATTCCCCCACAGCATAGAAGAGGAGACTTGAAGCTGACCACTTACCTCCAACTAGTGTCGTGGTCAGGAAAACGTGGATCTATACATCCACCCCACTTATGTCTTCATGGTGCAATGCTTAATTAGTTAAGCATAATGATAACTTTTTTACCTTTAAGACAACAAAGGCTTTCTTTTGTTTTTATATTTTTTAAACTGCAATTGTGTTCAGGAGGCCGTGGTTGGTTGTTCAACATGATAGAATATGTACTCATAACATAATACTTCACGTAGTGAGCTATGAGCAAAATTGCATGTATTTTCTTCTCAAGTTTGATGTTTAACAATGCTGTCAGTAACAAGACTAACAATCGATGATGGTGTGATTAATGAATATGGAGCAATTCGTGGAATCAGTATCATATGTAGGTTTTGAGGTCATCGTTAAACATGTTCAACCTCAATTAAAATTTAAGTGGCTAAGCAAGTGTCTGTAAAATTCTCAAATATCAAATTTTATTATAATTCATCCTGAGAGGTTCAGTTATTTCATGAATACTAATGGATAGAGAAACACCTGACAGAATTTAATGAATTGTGATCACTCTCAAAAGCTGCCTCTCATATTCCCTTTGGCATATCAATGAGGGCACACAGAAATCAAATCTGAGATTCAGACTTCACACAAACAACTCCATGCGCTGTGGTCTATTCTACAAATGTCAGTAGGTATCTAAGACAAATATGTTTAACCTTTAACAGCCTAGCGACACCATATGTAGACCTTTAAAGTGTAGCCGAGTGGCCGTGTGACACTGTATGGGTACGCGCAGTCCACGCATGCGCACAGTGTTTTAAAATCTAATTTTAAGATAGAAATTCTTGTTCTACTTATATTATTTTTGGGCACCCGCTTTATAAGTAGACAGTCTTCCCTCCTGGGTCATCTAACTGAATGCAGAGTCTGACATCGCAATTCATGCACTTTGTCCAGATGTAACTCCGTTTCCCACACAAAGAGCACACATGACACCTCAGTCTTGTATTAGAGGAAGTCGGCCAGTGATGTCGAGTGGCCTCCTCTAATCATAACACTTATAAAACATCGCAATTTCCACTATTCACCATGGCCTCATTTCACATGGAAGAAGCCAAAATTGAGAGGCAGCTGATAATACGCTTCCCATGCTTGAGTGTGTATGGGGTGAACGTGGGATGAAGGAATGTTTTTCCAGCTTGTATAAATGACACCGATTCAGACTGCAGTACAGACTCTGAAAGTGGCGAGGAAGCAAGGGGGCATTGCGGGGCTATTCTGAGAACAGTATCTCTGTGTGGCTAGTCCGAGATATACACAGTCANCAGCAACCGGAGTTGGCCAAATGACACATATATATGAAGCAGGACACATGCACTCTTTGGGAGTGCTGACAGTTTGACCTTGGGTTTGAAACCAAAACAAACCTACATGAGGTCATGTCAGTGGTTCATTCCTTAGCTCTGAACAAAGAAATCGTTTATCACGACACTGGTTTCGATACTATTTACGTTTAGATATGACTGTTTATGACCTGGTAGGCCAAATATAGCCCAGCTTTGTTTCGAGAACTGATGAGGAAATATTCTTCTGTGCTTGTATGTGAGTGCTTCCAGAGCCTTCAAGGAAGTGTGACACATGCAAGGATTGGTTTTCAGTGACGAATTATCAGTCAGGAAGTCAGTGTCAGACTGTCATATATTTCTTTATATATCATTTTTATTTTGTGTCTTGGAAGAGGTATAAACACACTGAGCCGGTATTACTTTGTGAGTAAAAGGCATCTTCACCACTGCAACTTTCACTATATGTCGGACTGGCACTCTTTTGACTAGTATTATAATTACTTTGCATCACTATTTTGCAAGTATTACCAACAGGTGAGAGTGTCGCTTTGTCAATCAACATAATTTATTCGATTTTGCTAGAAACCCCCCTCCCCCAAGATGATTCTTCAATCGCACAAGCCGAATATCATGGTCAGTGGCGTTTCTCGGGGGAAGGCCAAAGTTATCAGAGGACCCAACTGAGTTGACTGGAGGTGAAACATTCACAACACTGGCCAACCAAAGGGAAACAAAGACGCTGTCATGTGTTTCGCTAAATAAGAAATGCAGGAGCATGCTCTTCTATTGTAAAAAGTGTGATTTTGCTCTGTGTGAAGTGGAGTGCTTAGAGAAGTGCCACGCGTGTCAGTGTGACTATCACAGTGAAGTGACTGTGAACTGAAACTGTGAAGTGACGCAGTTCAAACTCGCATACAGTAATATTATTGTATACAGTGCGATTATATTTACAATATCACCAAGTCTCAAAGCTGAATATCACAAGGCGAATATCACGGTCAGTGGCGTTTCTCGGGGGAGGCCAAGGTTACCTGGGGCCCAACTGAGTCGACTGGAGGTGAAACATTCACAACACTGGCCAACCAAAGGGAAACAAAGATGTTGTCATGTGTTTCGCTGAATAAGAAAAGCAGGAGCACGCTCTTCTATTGTAAAAAGTGTGATGTCGCTTTGTGTGAGGTGGACTGCTTCGAGAAGTGCCACGCGCGTCAGAGTGTATCGTAAACTGTGAAGTGACACAGTTCAAACTCGTGTACAGTCTGCACAAAATATTATTGTATATAGTGTGATTATATTTACAATATCACCATGATTCAAGGTTGAAGAAAAAACAATGGGTAAGTGCTTTGGAATTTCATAACATATACAATAAAGATATTATTTTGCAATTCATGACAAAATAATCACAGTTAATTTTCGTTTGTAAAAATGGCTCTTTTGTGTATGTGTAGAAAATTTTATTGTCTTTCAGGATGTTTTTAGTTTGTATTTCTATGTCACATAGAATGGAAAATATGGATTTTTTTCTGAAAGTTTGCAATGTTAATTAATTAGAGCGATTTAAATATAGGCCGCAGATGCCTGCCAGCAATTTAAAAGTTCGTACGTTAAAGGTTAAATTAACTCCGGCCTGCTGCCATTACCAGAATTTAAATGGCCTGTCTCTTAAAGGTTAAATGTCAGAAATTTCAACTCACATGGAGCAGAGGGGTTTCTACAACTTCACGCAGCTTCTCAATTTGCTCCTTGCAGCCACCAACATCACTGTACGTCACATCTGGTTTCTCCTCAACCTGCATCATGGTGACTGTGGGGTCAATCTTCGGGGGTAGAGGGATGTGGATCTGGTACTTGTTGCGATCCACACTGCAACATGGATATCCACCCAGCACTAATATGCAACACTCTATCCTCTGTGGATAATCAAGTGACAGTCACAGCTGATTAGCATTTTATACACATACTGAAAATAATCCTCTCATTTGGGGCTGTGCCATAGCTCAGGCAGTTACTTGTCGGCATCCCATCCCGGTGGCCTGAGTTCAAGCCCATGTCAGGTCATACAGGATTTGTGGTGAACAAAGTGGCACTAGGACAGGTTTTCTCCAAGTACTTTGAGTATGAGTATGAGGGGTGAGCCATAAATACCAGCCCTCGCACTACGACCTTCACTCATCTATTGTGCTTCCCCTTGGGATCAACCCTTTATTAACCCTACACTTTGAATGAAATGTAGGACTTTATTTATGGGGGCATCATAAAAGTCACTTGGTTCCATGAAGAATTGACCCAGGTGGTGATGGTGGTTCCTCTGAAACATCAGGTGATTTTCAACAGACTACACAGCGTTATATTCCAGAAAACAGTACTCTTCACCCTCTCATTTAGCTACATATCTCAGATTTCCTCACTAACTCTGAGTATACACTATACACACCGAGTTATGTTTCTGGGATATAATGCCATATCATCTGGAGAAAGTCATGGGATGACATGGAGTTATATCTCACAAGATGCAAATCTTCACAGTCTTTGTTGTCAGAAACTCAAATCCAACACTGCACATTCTCACTCTTCCTGCAAAAGGAGTTCTGTATAGAGATTAACCAAAAATTTTGTTATGGATAAACTCATTTCTGTTTCACACACAGAAATGAGCTCTCCTTGGTCAACATTTAGAATCAATTCAACAAAACCAAGAACTTTTCAATATAATTATTAGGGAAGTGTAAACAGCTGGAAAGTCAAACTGTTCATGAACTTTAAAAAGTATTAGGTTCAGTTTGAGTTATAATTTTCAAATGTGATCACAAAATATTAAATCTACCATCAAAAAATATGTGTCAAGCTGTAAGAACAAGACATATATGCCTTTTTCTGTTATTCAAAAAGTGCACTGTATTTTGGGGTTCTGTACAAAGTTACAAAAACCTCATGTGGAAGTCCTGTCTGTCTGTGCCCTTGTTTCAGTGCCTAAATGACTGGATAGGCGCATTTATAAAAGCTTAATATGGGAGACTGCCATGAAAAGTTGACCTGCATTTCCAACTTCCACTAAAACTGGGTAAAAATAACACACGCTTTACATGAACAACTACACGCTCTTCTGTATGCATGTTAAACATAACTCAACTGGAACTTTCTAAATATCCACTGGAGTGAAAAATATTTCAAACAAAAGATCAAGAGAAACACAAGACTTCAACAATGACAGAATGAAAAATGTTCTCTTCTTGAGGTCGCTACATTCCTTCGAGTAGAAAACTACACGCTACTCGCATGGAATGAACAGACTGTGGTTTCTCAAACTGTATGTGGCACCAGTGTCTGAAATCAACAGGAATAAGTGCTACTTTTTTAATGCACTGTGAAAGAGTGACTAGTGTTTGTGGATTACGGTGAAGAAATAGGTTGCACATAGAAAATCCTTGCTCTCATCTAAATTCTTGAAAAATTCTTCCAAATTCTCATCTCGATGCTGTGGACCCCAAGAAACAGACTGCTCTTTACCCCTTGTCCCTACATCCTGCAGCTGGAATAATATGACTTAGTTCATATGGGATTTGAGGTTCTTAAGGCAATGACTATTACTGTGAAGGTTGATGTCTTCCGCAATGTGAGCTGTATAACCTGGTAGATATTTAATGACATTCTGGAGGCCTGTGCTGCTACTAAGGACTCAGATCCTGGTACTCCCTCTCTTTATATCCACATCACAATTTTTTCCATGTTCAGCTTACTCTTCTATTCTGAAAATGGAGATGGAGGCAGCATGATCCCCCAGAATTTCAGTAAATACATACCACACAACATCGCATCAAATGCAAGAAAACAGTAATAATGATTTCACTTCTGTTTGTTAATGCTGTTATTTGAAGGCCAAACTGAGGCACTCACCCAACGCGCATGCCTTCTTCTATGTCCGTTGGTGCTACTGAATCTGCTAAGTCCACAACAAATTTGGCAAACTGTTTCACATTGATAATGTACTTAGGATCATCAGAATCAGCATTGATGATTTTTGTACATCTTGCCACCTGGAAAAATTAAAACAAGGTGTGTACGATTACAGTTCCAGGTTAGGCTGGCTGCTTAACACTAACTGCTCTGAATGTAAGTTCTCTGTCATAAATAAATGGCAAACATTTTTGTTCAAACTCTTATCTCCATGCAAAAGCAAATATTAAACTATAATATGCCAGTGAGATTTATGTTCTCACAGCAGTGACAGTGAAGATGTGGCATGTAGACCCACTGACAAACATCGACTGCAAAATAAGCAGCCGTTGCTAGGTAATGGCTCTGTAAACAATGGATGCTGCCAGGGAGTGGCTGCAACAGAGCTCTTTGCAAGAATGGAGGAACTGTTGGAAGGGGTGTTCTCTGTGCAATTCATGTCAAAGTCACATAACAAAGGCCAGGTGCCAGCAGTGGGAAGAGTAGGAGGTTGGTGAGAGATGGCTGCCAGCCTGGGAGTTAATGTAATGGAATTGGTTGGTAAGTGATTGTGTTAGGTAGAGGACTGCACTGGGAGAAGATCTTCTGATTTGAAATCCTCAAGGACACACTCACGAGACTGAGAAATATACATGAATGATAATGCGAGAATGGATCTTTGCAAAATAAGTTCCAAGACTATGAACTTGACTGAAATTATTCAGGTATGGTAGCAGTATTGGTGATGAATAACTGAGCTGTACAAAAACAGCTGCCTCTTCTGAACAGCGTATGGAGTGGTGCATCCCATATTTCGAAGGGTAGGGAAAGAGGATGTTTCAGATATCAATAATCCATTAGAGGGACTGGCAAAAAGTATTGAAAAGTGACAAAAGAATTCACACAAACTATCACAGCATTAAAAAAAAAAGCCACTATTCACTTCCACTGGAACCCACATCATAACCTGTAGAACTGGTGGTGCCAGGTGTAGTGTCACATTTGGCCCTAGCCATGATGATAACTGCAGCAGCTGATGCTTTCTTGAACATATCCATAATGGGAGTTACACATGCATTTTTGCAGCACACTTGAAATTTCTGCATGATTTCTTATGGGAAATAGGAGTTTCAGCACTAGAACCATGGCCACAAGGTGTCCCACTGCAATCATCTTCAGACAAAATCTTGTATTGTAGAAGACATTGCATATTAGAGTTGCTGGGAAAAATTATAATAAAGCATTTATGGGACATGGTGGAGATGTCCAGTTGCACCCAAAATCCTGCACCTACAAATACCAGGGAGCTGTGGGCGGCTATCCAGATGGCATGGCTCAACATCTCTCCAGAGGTCTTCCGTCCACTTGTGGAATTGATGCCACATCGAGTTGCTGCACTTCACTGGGCTAGAGGGGGTCCTACACGATACTAGGTACCTATCCCATGACTTCTGGCACTTCAGTGTATATCAATGGATGCAAGTATGGCGGTAAGGAGTGTGGTGTTATCCTATGGAAAGGGGCCATGTAATTATTACAGAAGTTTAGAAGAGGTGAGATCTGACTATTCAGTTTGTATCTGTCCTCAAGTTTAAGTTATTGGGGTATTTCAATGTTTGAATGGCTTGTCTGGCCCCACTTTAACACGTGATACAGGTAAAACCTGAAAGTTGACATTATACATCAGATGCAAGCCACAAAGACTTCAAGGATGACATTACTAACATAAGAGTAGTTTGAGATGTACTTAACTAGACTGTTTCCTGTGAATAAATGCAGAATAAGCAATGAGGAAGAAACAGAAAGGACTGATACACAGTCCTTAGAGGAAATGCTACACAAATCAAGATTAGAGTAGTTCAGCCATGGTATGTTAATAGACAGTTTACTGACCACAGATGTCAGCTTCAGGCATTCAGGGAAATCAAGAATCTATGGGGATACCAAAAATATGACACAAAGTGACAAAGAAACGGGAATAGTCTGATGTCAGTTACAAGAAGAAATTGCTTTATGAACAATAATGTATGAAAGTAAAAATATTCTATTCGAAAATACTTCATACTGAAGGTCTGGTTCTGTGTTTTGTAAGGTTATTACTGGTGGCATTCCTGAGCAAGGTGAATATAATGGCAACACTCAACTTGTATTTGGGAGGTGCACTGTTCAAATTTCAGGGGGGCACTGACTATTACAACCAAGGTTTCCTCCCACTCCCAGCACACAAACGCCAAGATAGAAACTTAAAAAAGCCAGGACTGCTCATTTGACTCTATAGAGTCCAATTTACCAACACTGTCATAAAATAACTACAAATGAATAAATACTGGTGGTGTGCTCAATCTGGGGCAAAGGCTTTGTGTGAAAGTAAGATGCAAATAGGCCACGCCATAGCTCAAGCGGTTAGCCACTGGCTTCCCATCGTGGTGGTCTGGGTTTGATCCCAGGTCTGGTCAAGTGGGATTTGTGGTGGACAAAGTGGCGCTGGGGCAGGTTTTCTCCAAGTACTTTGGTTTCCCCTGCAAATCTTCATTCCACCAACTGCTCCACAATCACCCTCACCTATCATCTGGGGCTGGTACAATAGGCCAGAACTGGCCACAGTACAAGGGACTTAGTCCCACCCCACTAGCAATAAAAAAAAAGATGCAAATAAAAGGTATATGTGAAGCTATCCCTGTAACAGGCCATTGAGGCCCAATGGGTTGTGAAACATCGAGACTCCCAAATTTTCTAGACCATCAGATCAGAGATGGCAGAGAGGTTGTCAGCCTTATGAGCCAGCCGTCCTTTATCCCCAGGAAGATTCTTGGTACTCATTTCTGTTAGAGGTTGAACAGACCCCAGGGTCATAATGAGGCTGGAAGGATTACGTCCATTGAAAAATCCAATGACCTCAGCAAATGGCTATAATAAATTACAACTTTTCTGCTTTTCCACAGAATGTTGAAACTGTATGCTCAATGACAGTATCTAGCACACTGAGTAAGACCAGTGACACAGCCTTTGCTAGGCACGAATAACCATACTGTTGATGCACCTTTGAACCTGTCACTATTACTACAGCCTTTGCACTCACTTGCAGGGGCTGCTCATTCTGCAATGTTTGTTTGTCAGCTGCTAGGTCCCAAAGGGCAGGTGCAGCCAGGCCAGTGTCTGACTCCTTGATGCCTGTAAGCTCATTGACTCGCTTAATTATTGTCTGGATGTCATCTTCAACAGTCTTGATGCTCTTTGTGTATTGACCTTGGCCCTGCCAACACAAACAAGTGAACACAAACTTTCTTGAGGTTGAAGCCAATCTGCAAAACAGTTTATTCAAAAGCCACATTTTCTAAACCTGCAATTCATAAAAACAACTACATCACATTCAATACTACATACTTTTGCAATTCCTATAGTGTTGTTCAATGACTTGACTGTGTTGTCAGACCTATCAAGTGCAGAGACCTGTGGATATTCTCAAAGCAGAAGCCCATGCTCATGTCAACATAGTTCTCAGTTTTCCTTTCATACTGCACAGCTTCAAATACATACTTATAACCTACAACCACCTAACTTTTATTGAACAACTGTCAACAGAATACTTTTGACATACTCATTTTGATTTACAGAAGATCATCATTGGTGCCATAATTTTATAAATGGTTAGAGGGGTGGATAGAAGTGACCAGAAGACGAGGAAGAAGACGTAAGAAGATGCTGGATGACCTTGGGGACAGAAGAGGATATTTTCATTAGAAGGAGATAGCTCTAGATCGCATCAAGTGGAGGAACTGTTTTGGAAGAGACTGTGGACCCGTCGTCTTGACAGATTACAGATGAATAAATGAATGATGGCTAACCCTTCTGAATGCCAGGCCCTGGCATAGAACTAACTCCATGGATTAAATGTCTATGTAGCCACAGTCCATCAATAATGCAACAATTGTTTATTCACCATTTAACACTTAACACATGTTTCAGCCATAGATGGCCATCTTCAGGTGTCTAATGCATCCAAACTGTTAACCTGCTCTCATGTGTGCTAAAACCATGCATTGCAGTACACTTAAAATAACTTAAAAATAATTAATTAAAATAGATTGAGTTGCAATCTATATTCCCTACAGAACGGACAAAAACACTGTAAGATGAGGCACCAGCCAAACAATTAACATCAAAACTATACTATATCTATACCACGGGCATCCAAGCAGTTTATTACATGTATATAAGTCTAGAATACACCATTATGTCTGCGGGAATATAACAAGATTGCAACAACTGACTTGATGATATGCAATATCACATGAAAAGTTTTGAACCTTATTTTAGGCCATAACATTCATTTTATAATAAGTTTATAGTTCATTGTATTTTTATACCATGTATTTTATAATGTAATAATTATCAAGTATGCAGCTTCACTACTGCAATTGCAGTTCAGTAGTGTGTGAATGTGGTAGTCATGTGTTTGCCTGATGATGGCTTTAATAGCCGAAACATGTAGCTAAGCTAATTTCAGCCTTGATCATTGTATTGTTGTGTTGCGACGGACTCTAATAAAGAATTGTATATAATAATATAACAGGATGCATGAAATTAGAACTGAACAAGCTGGCTTAAGTGGTAATGTTTCTGACCTGCATGTAGGAAGTGACTGGTTTGACTCTAAGCCACTAGGACAGGACACTTTAATATCCTCACTGGGGATTCTATAGTTTTCCTCAGTCTGTTCGAGTCCTGATGAGGTGGATATTTTCAATTTACCTAATCCTTCCAGTAGCACTATGGCCCTGGGGTCAACTCAGCCTCTAACAGAAATGAGTACCAGGAATCTTCCAGGGGGGGTAAAGGGTGGCCAGCACATAAAGCTGACAACCTTACCGCCATCTGTGAGCCGACTGTCCAGAGAAAATGTGAGACCCTCAATGTCTCACAACTCTTTGGGCCTTCACAGCCTGTTACAGGGATAGCTGGCAAATGCCAGGATAATGCATTAAATTAGGCCAATGACTGCTTCCTTCCATATCCTTTCCAATTCATTATATACTTATTATCCAACCATTAGATGATATACAAACTAAACTGAAGTATTTCTATTGTGTACTAACACAACAGATTGACCATGACCAGAATTTGAAATTGTGCACCTACCACCTCACAAGAGCTATGATTTAAATCTAACAGTTTGTGGCAACGATATGGCATTAAACTGACACGTATGTTGGGCATTTTCAATTGCCTCATTTTTGTTAATAGAAAAGCAAAATGTTTCAGTATCTGCCTCTGTTTCCATTATGAAACCTCTGCCAGATCCATTACATACAGCTAATCTCAGTCCTGCATGGATAGAGAATGTGTTTTAATATAAAAATATGCTACAATGGAAAATGTGTCATTATGGTCAGTCATTTTTTAATTACTATATTATATTTAAGCATCCTGTTACACTATACACTTCTATATGTAATAATACAAATGCCGTCATGAATGCAACACCTGATGATGGCCAGTTACGGCCAAAACATGTAGTGTAGAGGAAGAAAAGACGAAGAACTACAACCAAATAAATTTTTGCATTCACGACAGCATTTGTATTATTACATATTAAAATATTTTAATTATTTACCATCTCCATGAAATGCATAAAATGAAATACTGCTTGTTATAATAACAGTGACACAGGAGAACATTTTCACTGCCACTACTTAGCTTCATACCCAGTAAAACTATATAGGGTTATGTTTTACATGTTTTATGCTACTTGACAAAAGCAAATCCTTTTCCTGATAAAATTACTTAGAATAACTTACGTAAGTCTTCAGAAGGGCGATATCTCCCTCGTCAAGAGCTGAAAAACAAGACAAAACAAAATTCAGTACTCTCCCTACTCTTCCACTAACAGTACTATGGCAACTATACTATGTCTAAAACATCTTTTAGGGTCCACCTAAAGTTACCTGACCCTATCTTTAACATACAATGGAAACAAAAATCACTGTACTGTAGATCTCACTGAACACACACTCTCATTCCATAAGGTTGCCTAGCTGTTGCACTCTCGGTGATGTTCTAGACAAAGAAAAGCTGCTATGATCTTACAGTAAACAATGAGTGAATATCAGTCAGCTCCATGTAGTTAGTTAGTTAAGAAATCAGTCAGGATGAAGGGGGCATGCAGTAGTGTAGTTGGTTGAGGCACTAGGCTACAAGATGGAAGATCGCATGTTTGCTTCCTAATGAGATCACTGGATTTTCCAGTTGACCTAATCCTTCTATTCGCACTGTGCCTCTGGTGTTGACTCAGCCTCTAAAAGAAATGAGTACTAGGTATCTACCTGGGGGTAAATAGTTGCGGGTGCATAAGGCGGATAACCTCACTGCCATCTGTGGCTGTCTGTCTAGAGAAATATGGAAGCCTGGACATCTCAAAAACCTAATGGCCTCCACAACCTGTTAGAGGGATACCTTTACCTTTTTTTATCAGTCAGGATGAACAGGATCTTTCCCGCAAATCAAATATGATAAGAGATTTGTGAAAAGAAACCTAAATCAATGAACCATAATTAACCACTTTTGCTGCCAACAGACTGCAGCACATTTATCTATTGCACATCATACAACTCAACCCATAATAAAAAAATTACTGACCACATTACTATCAAAATTTGTACTTAAAAAGTGAAAGACAAATTGTACTTTTTACTGTTCTTATTGGCACCGTGACATGCAACTTTAAATTGTTAGTAAATTTTCTCAGGGCTAGTTATAAAACTGGCTTTTTTCTGGCTCAGAAAACTTATCCATTACACTCACTTCTGCTATTCTTATTATACTGGAATTCATATATACAGAGCGATGTCAGTAATGCAATATTCAGTCACATAACAGACTTCTACTCTATCCACTATCAAGCAGTAATACTAGTGGTGGTGGTAGTAGCAGCACCATCAGCAAAAATCCTGAAAACTGCATAGTCAAGCTATGTTAAGTTTAACAGCAACACTTAGAGATCTTTTTTTTTTTTGTTTGGTTTCACCTATCTCAAAGTTTTACAGATAAAAGGTTTGTGCAGATGCTTGAAGATTGAGATTTTAAGGTATAAAAATAATTTACATCTATCCAAATTTAAACCCCAGAAGAATAACAGTTCATGAATGGATTGCATGGCCATGAAAAAGGCACAACAGTAGGAATGGGCAGCTCTTACACACCACACAGCCTATAAAATAAACTTCTACTAAGAAAAATTAACATTTGCCATTTCTGCACACCTACGAAAGCATGTATGTCATTATTCTCTTCTGTACAGCTGAATCAGAGAATTTTTGGGAACCCTGTAACATTCATCTGTAAAGAAAATCTGAAACATATAATTTCTGTTAAGATGGTTTACCATGCCTACTTTCATTCTATTATGAACTATGGATTAATATTTTGGGGGAACTCTTCACATAGTGTAATAATTTTTAAAATACAAAAGAATATAATTAGAATCATTACAGGATGTAGAAGTAGAGATTCATGTAGAGAATTATTTAAGAAATTAAAAATTCTACCTCTTCAATCGCAATACATATTATCGCTTCTCTTATTTGTTGTTTACAACAAAGATAAATTCAAATTAAATTCTGATGTCTATAACATGAATACTAGACAAAAATATAACTTCCACCTACCCTCATCAACTTTATCAGTATATCAAAAAGGAGTCTACTTTACTGGCATAAAAGTGTTCAACAATCTGCCACAAAGTATTAAAAACTTGGGCAATGATACTAAAAAGTTTAAATCAGAGTTAAAGAATTATCTACATGCTCATTCCTTCTACTCTTTAGATGAATACTTCAATGTAAATAATATTAATTTTTAGGCTAAAATTGCCTGTACTTATGTATGTAACCTTTTGACTTGTTCTGTATCCAAAGGTACTAACCTACTTAGGATTTATAGAATGTAAATAAATTCAATTCAATTCAATTCACAAAATATAGATTTAATATAGTTCCAAGTGAGATTTGAATTTGATATAATTCTTACAGCAGTGAACAACACATTTTCAGATCCTCGGAATTTTGAACAGTAGCAACAACCCAACATTAACAGTTCACCGGAATTCTAGTTTGTGGAGATGATATGGGTACAAGCCCCTCCCCTCGCACATCCCAGGCCAATATTAGTTCATTTTTAATAACATAACTCAACCCTAACCCTAAGTTTGCATTATAAAGGAAACGAATTCCAAACATGACGAAGTTGGGGGTGGACGAGTGGCCCCACATGCCAGAATTTAATCATAATTTACATACCATAATATGGCAAATGCTGCTGAGATACAATCTATAAAAATATAAACAAATGTGACTGCTAACTATGTAAACAACATGGAATTTATCTATATAAAAGGAAATTCTGCTACAGCCATTGATAATATTTTCATCGACATTACTAGAAGGGAAAATTATTCTGTAAGGCGTATAATAAATGGATTGTCTGATCATGATGCACAATCCATAACATTTAAAACAATAAACATGAGAACACATGCTAAACAATTTAAAATAATAAGGAAAATAAACAAACACACAAATGACTTTTTAATTAAACTCAGTTATGAAACATGGGACTCAACATTTTCTAGTGATGATGTTAATATAATGTTTAACTCCTTTTTAGACACTTACTTGAAAATTTATTATTCCAGTTTTCAAAAATAAAATAAAATAAAATTTCAAATGAAATAAGTGATTGGATTACTATAGGAATAAAAACATCCTGTAAACGTAAAAGAGTACTCTATATGGCATAAAGAAACAGTAATAATTCAGAATTAAGAAACTATTATAAAAAATATTGTAAAATCTTATCTAAGGTCATTAAGGAAGCTAAAAAACTAAAATATAACAAAATTCAAAATTCCAAAAATAAAAATAAGACCATATGGGATATAGTAAAATTAGAAACTAATAAGGGGCCAAATAATGAAAAAATATGCACATTAAAGGTGGATGGAAAATGGATTAGAGAAAAGCAAGTAATTGCGGAAACCTTAACAATTACTTTTTATCTGTAGTTGAAAATAAAAATGCAAAAAATAAACAAAATAATACTAATATTAGTTACCTTCCAGACACTAATCCCATTCAGTATTTAATGAAAACTTTTATAAATCCCTTTCCACATATTAAACTTAAATCTTTATCAACTAAGGAA